AGTGCCAGAGAGTGAGACAGGTACCTATTCAACAGCTCTAGTGCCAGAGAGTGAGTCAGGCCTCTATTCGACAGCTCCAGTGCCAGAGTGTGAGACAGGTACCTGTTCGACAGCTCCAGTGCCAGAGAGTGAGACAGGTCCCTGTTCAACAGCTCTAGTGCCAGAGAGTGAGACAGGCCTATATTCAACAGCTGCAGTGCTTGAGAGTGAGACAGGTTCCAGGTGATCAGGTCTACACCTTCATTAATAACATAGTGTGACATATGTCTCCATTCTCACTGTCAACACTGGCTGCTTATGAATTAATTATGTGCTCAGTCTCCCACTGTCCACTGGGAGTTAACAGCTGTTTGTTTAGTGCAGGAGGTGTCAAGAAGAGGCCTAATAATAACACAAACCCTGACTGATACTCTGACACGCTGCCACACTGACTCTGACTCTCTGTGAGACTCTCCGACTGACTCACTCTGTCCACCAGTCCGTTTACCAGTGCGTCCATCAGGATGTCCACCACTCAGTTCCTCAGCCAGCCCATCAGTATGTCCACCGGTCAGTTTCTCAGTCTGTCTTTCAATCTGTCCATCAGTATGTCCACCGGTCAGTTTCTCAGTCTGTCCACTTGTCTACCGACCAGTCACTTTATCTGTCCCTCTGCCAGTCCCCTGGTCAGCCTGTCCATCAGACGGTCCACTGGTCAGTCTCTCAGTCAGTCCATCTGTCCCTCGGTCAGTCCCCTGCTCGGACTCCATGCTCTGAGCTCCCAGAGCCTGGGCTCCTCAGGTCACTCATTAACTGTGTCTGTTATCTCCAGTGTTAATAAGTAACTGGGCCCAGGCTGACGGCCCAGAACTTTGCTTCTCTAAATAAAAGCTGATGCCTGTTGGTGGATTTATAGCAGTAACTCCATCAAACCACCTGAACCAGCTTAACAGTTGACCCTGTCCTGCAGACTCCACAACAGCCCAGTCGTGCCCAGTATATCCCAGGACACTCCGGTCCAGTCCAGCTAAGCCCAGTATAACCCAGTACACTCCGGTCCAGCCTTGATAAATCCAGTATATCCCAGTACACTCCGGTCCAGTCCTGAAAAGCCCAGAATATCCCAGTACACTTTGGTCCAGCCCTGATAAGGCCAAACCAGTTGTTTCCAGTCCTGCTGCTGCTCAGTCCACCTTAAATGTAAAGTATTCAATCCCAGTCCAGTCCGGTGCGGTTCGGTCTTTTCAGAGGAGAGACGTGAGCAGGGAGGAGTGAGAGGGAGGAGAGGGAGAGTGAGAGAGAAGGGAGAGGGGAGGAGTGAGAGGGAGGAGAGTGAGAGTGAGAGAGGAGTGAGAGGGAGAGTGAGAGAAAGGGAGATGACTGTCTCTGTCTCTTTTACCCTGAAAGCACTTTAAGCTTCACTCTCCAGGCCTTAAACGAAGCAGCCAGCCCACCAGGAGCCCCAGACACGCCCGAAACAGCCCGACACCAACCTGCTGGCGAAGCGAAGTCTCTGAAGACGGACTTTATGAGCAGGAAGCGTTTCAGAGGAAGAGCGAGAGGAGGGAGAAGGGGGCGGAGCGGTGAAGGTGGAGGCTGTTGTGATCGTTGTGCTGATCTGTGCTGCCACCCTGAGGTGGACAGGCGGAACTGCGGTAGGATATCTGGACGCCCCTGCTGTCACATTGCTTTGTCGTTTTCAGAAGCCCAAGAGCAAATCGAATGAAGACGAACACAGCAGAAAGAGCCTGATCGCAGGGTCAGGGACAGAGGGCATGCAGCCAGCAGAAAAAACACAGGCCACTCGCACACATCTGCTGATCAGCGTTTATTATACTGGACCAGTCTGGACAGAGCACATCGCCAGCACCCCCAAACACAGTAGGATTCTCAGTCTCTGTGCTGACGTCACAGCAGGGTGATTTCAGGGTTCGGTGTGAGGTCAAGGCTGGGTGAAGGTGATTTGGGGGTTCAGTGTGGGGTCACAGTAGGGTGAAGGTGATTTGGAGGTTCAGTGTGAGCTCAAGGCTGGGTGAAGGTGCTTTGGGGGTTCAGTGTGAGGTCAAGGCTGGGTGATGGTGATTTGGGGGTTTGGTGTGAGCTCACAGTGGGGTGATGGCGATTTGGAGGTTCAGTGTGGGGTCACAGCTGGGTGAATGGGATTTGGGGGTTCAGTGTGGGGTCACAGTAGGGTGAAGGTGATTTGGGGGTTCAGTGTGAGGTCACAGTAGGGTGAAGGTGATTTGGGGGGGTTTCTCTGGCTGCAGGATCAGGGTGTACTTGGTGTTGATGTCAGCAGTAGACGACACTTCCAGACGGAAATTCCGCAGAATCTGCAGGAGGAGAAAGAAAAACTCTTTATTTTCCTGGGATGTTGCCTGGATTTGCTCCAGAGCCATGAGATCTTCGCCCCGACCTCACCTGGCTCTGCACTGAGGCATCCTGGGACTTACGTGTAGCAGGAAGAGCTGCATCTCGTTCTCTGCGATGCGGCGACCCACGCACTGTCGCGACCCGAACCCGAACGCCAGC